CGTGGCTCGTGTTGCCTCATCATCATGCACTAAGTTGCAGCCTGCTAGACCCTCCCGAGACGAACTCTGGACCTGCACAAAGTGTAGTATATGGCCTCCTGGTTCCTCTGAATTGCACATAGAGCATTCTCATGTTTATGTTGCTTGATTCTTCATTCTTGAACAAGTGGGCGGTTATCATTGTAATCATTAATCGGGTAATCATTGCTTGCATATCTGGCAACATTGTGTTGTCTTGACACAGTGAAGTGTTGGTTGGGAGGGGGGGGGGTGAAGAGGGGGAGTGGTTGGTTGGGAAGGAAGAGGGTTATGTTGTTCTACATTGTGCTATGTTGCTCTGCATGTGCCAAATTATATTATGTTGCTCAATATGTACCACGTTGAGTTATGATGCTCTATATGTACCACTTAGAGTCATGATGCTCTATATGTACCACTTAGAGTTATGATGCTCTATATGTACCACATTGAGTTATGATGCTCTATATGTACCACTTAGAGTCATGTTGATCTGCATGTGCTCGAGCACGCTATGCTGATAAACAGTATCAACACTCTTCTCCAATTATCTTCACATTATGTTGAGCTGTTGCATTTTATGTTGGCCATTAAACCCAAGCCCTGTTGTTGTGTTCCCCTAGGCTGTGTTGTCTGCCATGTTGCACTCTCTGTTTTGGCTATGTTGCACTCTTTGTTTTAGCTATGTTGCACTCTCTGTTTTAGCTATGTTGCACTCTCTGTTTTGGTTATGTTGCTCTGTTTTGGCTATGTTGCACTTTGTTTTGACTATGTTGCACTTTGTTTTGACTATGTTGCACTTTGTTTTGGCTATGTTGCACTTTGTTTTGGCTATGTTGCACTTTGTTTTGGCTATGTTGCTGTTTCTCTCTGTATTGCCGTTGTTTTGTTTGTGGGTCTATTTACGGTATGTTGTGTTGATGTATCAATCGTTGATCGCTCAAAAGTGCTCTCTATGTTGTTCCATATATCAGTAATATGTTGTTCTGTCTTAACCATGTGGGTCCATCTTAACTATGTTGTTTCAACTATGTGTACTATGTCGTTCATTTATCTGTACTATGCTGTTCTATCTTATTTATGTGGGTCCATCGAGATATACTATGTGGTCCTATCTTAACTATGTGGTTCTGTCTATCTGTACTATGTGTTTCCATCTATCTGAACTGTTTTGTTCCATCTATGTGTTTCCATCTACATGTAATATATGGTTCAATATATATGTATTATGTTGTTCCATCTTAACAATGTTGTTTCATATATTTGTTTTATGTTGTTCCATTTGTACCATGTGGTGACATCTATCTATACTATGTGGTTACATCTATCTGTACTAGGTTATCCATCTATCTCCCCCATGTTGTTTTCCATCTATCTCAGCCGTGTTGTTCCATTACCCTCTTTACTGTTGTGCTCCATCTACTTCTACCATGTTGTTCCATCTCTATCTCTCTCTCTCTCTCTCTACTATGATCTATCCCTTTATGTTGTTCCATCGGTATTAAACTATGTTGTTCCATCTCTATCTCTCTCTCTCTCTCTCTACTATGATCTATCCCTTTATGTTGTTCCATCGGTATTAAACTATGTTGTTCCATCTCTATCTCTCTCTCTCTCTCTCTCTCTACTATGATCTATCCCTTTATGTTGTTCCATCGGTATTAAACTATGTTGTTCCAGCTATCTCTATTCTTTTTCCACTACTTTACACTATGGTGAACTATCAGTCTCCCAAAATTGTTCCCATCTATTATACAGTTTTGGTCTCTCTGTCATATTAATGTTCTTCCATCTCTCTGTGTTACGTTGTTCCAGTTCTCCACCCCATATTGTTCCAGTTATCTCTATCATTATGTTCCCTCTTATTCATGTTGTTCCAGTTATCTAACCCATATTGTTCCTTCTCTCTCAGTCATATTATTCCATCTCTTTACACCATATTTTTCCATCTTTCTACACCATATTGTTCCATTTCACTACTCTATATTGTTCCATCTATCAACCCCCATATTGTTCCATCTATCAACCCCATATTGTTCCATCTGTCAACCCCATATTGTTCCATCTATCAACCCCATATTGTTCCATCTATCAACCCCATATTGTTCCATCTATCAACCCCATATTGTTCCATCTATCAACCCCATATTGTTCCATCTATCAACCCCATATTGTTCCATCTCTATACCCAGTATTGTTCCATCTTTCTTGTTACCACATTCAGCCTCCATGCTATTTGGTGTTGAGTCCTGCCTATGAGCACAGACCTCCTGATTATTGAGCCCTGCCTGGAGGGCTCCTGACTATTGAGCCCTTCCCGGAGGGCTGAGTATTGAGCCCAGCCTGAAGGGCTACTGACTATTAGGCCCTGTCTGGAGGGCTGACTATTGAGCTCTGCCTGGAGGGCTGACTATTGAGCTCTGCCTGGAGGGCTGACTATTGAGCCCTGCCTGGAGGCCTGACTATTGAGCCCTGCCTGGAGACATTGCTATTGAGCCCTGCCTGGAGACCTCCTGACAATTGAGCCCTTCCCGGAGGGCTGAGTATTGAGCCCTGCCTGGAGGGCTGACTATTGAGCCCTGCCTGGAGGGCTGACTATTGAGCCCTGCCTGGAGGGCTGACTATTGAACCCTGCCTGGAGTGCTGACTATTGAGCCCTGCCTGGAGGGCTGACTATTGAGCCCTGCCTGGAGGCCTGACTATTGAGCCCTGCCTGGAGGGCTGACTATTGAGCCCTGCCTGGAGGCCTGACTATTGAGCCCTGCCTGGAGGCCTGACTATTGAGCCCTGCCTGGAGGGCTGACTATTGAGCCCTGCCTGGAGGCCTGACTATTGAGCCCTGCCTTGAGGGCTAACTATTGAGCCCTGCCTTGAGAGCTGACTATTGAGCCCGGCCTTGAGGGCTGACTATTAAGCCCTGCCTGGAGGGTAGACTATTGAGCCCTGCCTGGAGGCCTGACTATTGAGCCCTGCCTGGAAGGCTGAATATTGAGCCCTGCGTGGAGGCCTGACTATTGAGCCCTGCCTGGAGAGCTGACTATTGAGCCCTGCCTGGAGGCCTGACTATTGAGCCCTGCCTGGAGGCCTGACTATTGAGCCCTGCCTGGAGGGCTGACTATTGAACCCTGCCTCGAGGCCTGACTATTGAGCCCTGCCTGGAGGGTTGACTATTGAGCCCTGCCTGGAGGGTTGACTATTGAGCCCTGCCTGGAGGGTTGACTATTGAGCCCTTCCTGGAGGCCTGACTATTGAGCCCTGCCTGGAGGGTTGACTATTGAGCCCTGCCTGGAGAGCTGACTATTGAGCCCTGCCTGGAGGCCTGACTAATGAGCCCTGCCTGGAGGCCTGACTAATGAGCCCTGCCTGGAGGGTTGACTATTGAGCCCTGCCTGGAGGGTTGACTATTGAGCCCTGCCTGGAGGGCTGACTAATGAGCCCTGCCTGGAGGCCTGACTATTGAGCCCTGCCTGGAGAGCTGACTATTGAGCCCTGCCTGGAGGCCTGACTATTGAGCCCTGCCTGGAGGCCTGACTATTGAGCCCTGCCTGGAGGGCTGACTATTGAGTCTTGCCTGAAGGGCTGACTATTGAGCCCTGCCTGGAGGGTTGACTATTGAGCCCTGCCTGGAGGCCTGACTATTGAGCCCTGCCTGGAGGGCTGACTATTGAGCCCTGCCTGGAGGCCTGACTATTGAGCCCTGCCAGGAGGGTTGACTATTGAGCCCTGCCTGGAGGCCTGACTATTGAGCCCTGCCTGGAGGGCTCCTGACTATTGAGCCCTGCCTGGAGGCCTGACTATTGAGCCCTGTCTGGAGGGTTGACTATTGAGCCCTGCCTTTGAGGGCTGACTATTGAGCCCTGCCTGGAGGCCTGACTATTGAGCCCTGCCTGGTGACCTCCGGACTATTGAGCCCTGCCTGGAGGACTGACTATTGAGCTCTGCCTGGTGACCTCCTGACTATTGAGCCCTGCCTGGAGCCCGCTGAATATTGAGCCTTGCCTGGAGCCCTCCTGACTATTGAGCCCTGCCTGGAGGACTGACTATTGAGCTCGGCCTGTTGATCTCCTGACTATTGAGCTCTGCCTGGAGCCCGCTGACTATTGAGCCCTGTCTGGAGCCCCCTGACTATTGAGACCTGCCTGGAGGGCTCCTGACTATTAAGCCCTGCCTGGAGCCCGCTAACTATTGAGCCCTGTCTGGAGCCCGCTGACTATTGAGCCCTGCCTGGAGCCCGCTGACTATTGAGCCTTGCCTGGAGAGCTCCTGATTATTGAGCCCTGCCTGGAGAGCTCCTGACTATAGAGCTCTGCCTGGAGCCCCCTGACTATTGAGCCTTGCCTGGAGCCCTCCTGACTTGAGCCCTGCCTGGAGGACTGACTATTGAGCTCGGCCTGTTGATCTCCTGACTATTGAGCTCTGCCTGGAGCCCGCTGACTATTGAGCCCTGTCTGGAGCCCGCTGACTATTGAGCCCTGCCTGGAGGGCTCCTGACTATTAAGCCCTGCCTGGAGCCCGCTAACTATTGAGCCCTGTCTGGAGCCCGCTGACTATTGAGCCCTGCCTGGAGCCCGCTGACTATTGAGCCTTGCCTGGAGAGCTCCTGATTATTGAGCCCTGCCTGGAGAGCTCCTGACTATAGAGCTCTGCCTGGAGCCCCCTGACTATTGAGCCCTGCCTGGAGAGCTCCTGACTATTGAGCCCTGCCTGGAGAGCTCCTGACTATTGAGCCCTGCCTGGAGAGCTCCTGACTATTGAGCCCTGCCTGGAGAGCTCCTGACTATTGAGCCCTGCCTGGAGCCCCCTGACTATTCAGCCCTGCCTGGAGCCCCCTGACTATTGAGCCCTGCCTGGAGCCCCCTGACTATTGAGCCCTGCCTGGAGCCCCCTGACTATTGAGCCCCTGCCTGGAGAGCTTCGTGTGGAGAGACTATTAACGCGATGAGGAATGATCCTTCGGCTGTTGACCTTTCTCTCTTACGCTCTTATGGTCGCTGTTGGTGGGCTTCTGTTGCTTCTGTTGCTTCTGTTGGTGTGCTTCTGTTGCTTCTTTTGGTGGGCTTATGTTGCTGCTGTTGGTGGGCTTCTGTTGCTTCTGTTGGTGTGTTTCTGTTGCTTCTATTGGTGGGCTTCGGTTGCTGCTGTTGGTGGGCTTCTGTTGCTTCTGTTGGTGGGCTTCTGTTGGTGGGCTTCTGTTGGTGGACTTCTGTTGCTTCTGTTGGTGGGCTTCTGTTGCCTCTGTTGGTGGGGAGGGCTTCTGTTGCTTCTGTTGGTGTGGAGGGCTTCTGTTGCTTCTGTTGGTGTGGAGGACTTCTGTTGCTTCTGTTGGTGCGGAGGGCTTCTGTTCCTTCTGTTGGTGGGAGGGCTTCTGTTTCCTCTCTTCTTGGGGAGGGCTTCTGTTGCTTCTGTTGGTGGGGAAGGCCTCTGTTGGTGGGGAGGGCTTCTGTTGGTGGGGAGGGCTTCTGTTGCTTCTGTTGGTGGGGAGGGCTTCTGTTGGTGGGGAGGGCTTCTGTTGGTGGGGAGGGCTTCTGTTGGTGGGGAGGGCTTCTGTTGGTGGGGAGGGCTTCTGTTGGTGGGGAGGGCTTCTGTTGGTGGGGAGGGCTTCTGTTGGTGGGGAGGGCTTCTGTTGGTGGGGAGGGCTTCTGTTGCTTCTGTTGGTGGGGAGGGCTTCTGTTGGTGGGGAGGGCTTCTGTTGGTGGGGAGGGCTTCTGTTGGTGGGGAGGGCTTCTGTTGGTGGGGAGGGCTTCTGATGGTGGGGAGGGCTTCTGTTGGTAGGGACGGCTTCTGTTGCTTCTGTTTTGCAACAAACTCTCCCGTTGCTTCTGTTTTGATTTATAACACTGTTGCTATTTATCATTCGAATACAGTAGTTACTGTTGATATGTTAATGTGTCTCTCGTATCGTTGTTGCTGCTACTTCTGTTGGTGTTGTTGCTGCTACTTCTGTTGCTGTTGTTGCTGCTACTTCTGTTGCTGTTGTTGCTGCTACTTCTGTTGTTGTTGTTGCTACTTCTGTTGGTGTTGTTGTTCCTACTTCTGTTGCTGTTGTTGCTGCTACTTCTGTTGTTGTTGTTGCTACTTCCCTTGCTGTTGTTGTTGCTACTTCTGTTGGTGTTGTTGTTGCTACTTCCCTTGCTGTTGTTGCTGCTACTTCTGTTGGTGTTGTTGCTGCAACTTCTGTTGGTGTTGTTGCTGCTACTTCTGTTGGTGTTGTTGCTGCTACTTCTGTTGTTGTTGTTGCTGCTACTTCTGTTGGTGTTATTGCTGCTACCTCTGTTGGTGTTGTTGTTGCTACTTCTGTTGGTGTTGTTGTTGCTACTTCTGTTGGTGTTGTTGTTGCTACTTCCCTTGCTGTTGTTGCTGCTACTTCTGTTGGTGTTGTTGCTGCTACTTCTGTTGGTTTTGTTGCTGCTACTTCTGTTGGTGTTGTTGCTGCTACTTCTGTTGGTGTTGTTGCTGCTACTTCTGTTGGTGTTGTTGCTGCTACTTCTGTTGGTGTTGTTGCTGCTACTTCTGTTGGTGTTGTTGCTGCTACTTCTGTTGTTGTTGTTGCTGCTACTTCTGTTGGTGTTGTTGTTGCTACTTCTGTTGGTGTTGTTGCTGCTACTTCTGTTGGTGTTGTTGCTGCTACTTCTGTTGGTGTTGTTGTTGCTACTTCCCTTGCTGTTGTTGCTGCTACTTCTGTTGGTGTTGTTGTTGCTACTTCCCTTGCTGTTGTTGCTGCTACTTCTGTTGGTGTTGTTGTTGCTACTTCTGTTGTTGTTGTTGTTGCTACTTCTGTTGCTGTTGTTGCTGCTACTTCTGTTGTTGTTGTTGCTGCTACTTCTGTTGGTGTTGTTGCTGCTACTTCTGTTGGTGTTGTTGCTGTTACTTCTGTTGCTGTTGTTGCTGCTACTTCTGTTGGTGTTGTTGCTGTTACTTCTGTTGCTGTTGTTGCTGCTACTTCTGTTGGTGTTGTTGCTGCTACTTCTGTTGGTGTTGTTGCTGCTACTTCTGTTGGTGCTGTTGCTGCTACTTCTGTTGCTGTTGTTGCTGCTACTTCTGTTGGTGTTGTTGCTGTTACTTCTGTTGCTGTTGTTGCTGCTACTTCTGTTGGTGTTGTTGCTGCTACTTCTGTTGGTGTTGTTGCTGCTACTTCTGTTGGTGTTGTTGCTGCTACTTCTGTTGCTGTTGTTGCTGCTACTTCTGTTGGTGTTGTTGCTGTTACTTCTGTTGCTGTTGTTGCTGCTACTTCTGTTGGTGTTGTTGCTGCTACTTCTGTTGGTGTTGTTGCTGCTACTTCTGTTGGTGTTGTTGCTGCTACTTCTGTTGCTGTTGTTGCTGCTACTTCTGTTGCTGTTGTTGCTGCTACTTCTGTTGGTGTTGTTTCTGCTACTTCTGTTGGTGTTGTTGCTGCTACTTCTGTTGTAATGGAGGCTATGTTGACCAACCACACACTAGAAAGAGAACGTTTTGGTCCGTCCTGGACAATTCTCAAGTCGATCGATTGTCGAATTACACGTTAGTGTGACTCCTCGTCTGCTAATGGCGGCTATTTTAATATTTGTTGCTAAAATAGAGGGATTTTCTAGTTTTAAAACTTTCATGTGGAAGAATTATTTTTGGATAATATACTTTTAATTGTGATATTTTTTAATGATTTGTGGATGGTAATACTTTGCGTGTGTTGAATATATGGTCCATAATACTTTTTAAGTCATGGAGTATTGATGTTAAAAATTTGGTATATTTTTCCTTAATACTATTGTGGTTACTGTTTTCTTATGAACAGTACTTATTTGCTGTTACGGATATTACATTGTCAGTACTTTTCCTGTTATGGATTTGTTCTGGATAATACTTTTGTTATTATGGATATTTTCTGGATACATTCTGCATCTGGATAACAAAGTCTGTTATCCATAACTTACTTTGCTGTTCTGAATTTTGTCCGGTTAATACTTTTACTATTTTGTATTGTATAAAATGGATAACAGCAAAAAAAAGTATCTGCAATAATTTTCTGGTTATAGATTTTTGTCTTGAAATACCTTCGCTGTTATGGATTTGTTCTGGATAATACTAATTTTTGTGTTGATCCGTCACGGCGGAGCACTCGTGGCGAGACAGGGTAATACCAGCCATCCCCCCCCCCCCCCGTTATTGACCACCCTCTGAGGTCAACACACTATATTTTAACGCAAATGGTTCACCAGTCATAAAATGTTTGACCCTTATACCACGTAATGGGCTCGGAATTTATTTAATATTTTTAGGCTTTAGCCTGAGAATGTGTGAGTGGGTTGAGGGGGTGGAAATATGTGCGTGTGGGTTGAGGGGGTGGAAATATGTGCGTGTGGGTTGAGGGGGTGGAAATATGTGCGTGTGGGTTGAGGGGGTGGAATATGTGCGTGTGGGTTGGGAGAATATTGGGGAAATGTAGATGTGTGTGGGGGGGGGGGGGCAGTCTGTACTCATCTATTTGTACTCACCTAATTGTGCTTGCGGGGGTTGAGCTCTGGCTCTGTTGGTCCCGCCTCTCAACCGTCAATCAACAGGTGTACAGGTTTCTGAGCCTACTGGGCTCTATCATATCTGTATTTGAAACTGTGTATGGAGTCAGCCTCCACCACATCACTCCCTAATGCATTCCATCTGTTAACTACTCTGACACTGACAAAGTTCTTTCTAACGTCTCTGTGGCTAATTTGGGTACTCAGTTTCCACCTGTGGCCCCTTGTTCGCGTACCACCAGCGTTGAATAGTTTATCCTTGTCTATCCTGTCATACCCCTGAGGATTTTGTAGGTAGTAATCATGTCTCCCCCTACTCTTCTGTCTTCCAGTGTCGTAAGGTGCATTTCAAGCAGCCTTTCCTCGTATCTCATGCCTCTTAGTTTTGGGACTAGTCTAGTGGCATACCTCTGAACTTTTTCCAGCTTCGTCTTGTGCTTGACAAGGTACGGGCTCCATGCTGGGGCCGCATACTCCAGGATTGGTCTTACATATGTGGTGTACAAGATTCTGAATGATTCCTTACACAGGTTTCTGAAGGCTGTTCTGATGTTAGCCAGCTTCGCATATGCCGCAGACGTTATTCTTTTTTTGTGGGCTTCAGGAGACAGGTTTGGTGTGATATCAACTCCTAGATCTTTCTCTCTGTCCGTTTCATGAAGTACTTCATCTCCTATTCTGTATCCTGTGTCTAGCCTCCTGTTTCTACCGCCTAGTTTCATTTCTTTGCTTTTACTCGGGTTGAACTTTAGTATCCATTTGTTGGACCATTCATTCAGTCTGTCTAGGTCATTTTGTAGCCTCCTACTCTCATCCTCTGTTTCAATCCTCCTCATAATTTTTGTATCACCAGCAAACATTGAGAGAAATGGGTCTATACCCTCTGGGAGATCATTTACATATACCAGAAACAGTATAGGTCCACGAACTGACCCCTGCGGGACTCCTCTTGTGACGTCTCGCCAATCTGAGACCTCACCCCTCACACTGAGTCTTTCTCTTCTGTTGCTTTGGTACTCCATTATCAAATGGAATACTTTCCCCTTCACTCCAACCTGCATCTCCATTCTTTTTCACTAGCCTCTTGCGTGGTACTGTGTCAAAGGCTTTCTGGAAATCTTAAAATATGCAGTCTGCCTACCCCTCTGTTTCTTGCCTGATTTTTGTTGCCTGGTTGTAGAATTCAATTAACCCTGTGAGGCAGGACTTGCCATCCCTGAACCCATGTTGATGCTGTGTTACAAAGTTCCTTCTCTCCAGATGTTCCACTAGCTTTCTTCGCACAATCTTCTTCATCAGCTTGCATTGTATGCAGGTTAGGGACACTTGTCTGTAGTTCAGTGCCTCCTGTCTATCCCTCTTCTTGTACATTGGGAATACATTAGATGCTTTCCAAATTTCTGGCAGTTCCCCTGTTGCCAGTGATTTGTTATACACTATGGAGAGTGGCAGGCACAGCGCTTCTGCTCTTTCCTTTAGTGTCCAAACTCTAGTAAACTCTACATCCAACTCTAGTAAACACTTCCTTACTTCCTCACTGGTAAATCTCAATCTCTTCTAGTAGTTTCTGGTTAAATATTCCCTCTCTTATCTCTGGAATTTCTCCTTACTCTAAGGTGAAGACCTTCTAACATTTCTTATTCAGTTCCTCACACAATTCCTTGTCGTTTATTGTGAATCTTCTGCCCCTAAACTTAATTGCATTACCTGTTCCTTTACTGTTGTTTTACTCGCTGGTTCATCGTTTCCTTTCATACTAGTGGGCTCCCTGACATGTTGGCTCAGAAAGTTTCTTGTCGCCACCTCCATTAGTTTGGCTCTCCATGTATCCTCTCCTCCATGAGGTTCCTTGTTTTCTCAGCCTATCCTTCCGTGATTGAAGTCGCCCATGATGAGCAGGTGGGATCTATTTCTACAGGCAGCAGAGGCTGCCCTCTCATATATAGTGTTAACTGCCTTGTTGTTGTTTTCATTCTCTTGCCGTGGTCTTCTGTCATTTGGTGGAGTGTTGTATATTACTGCTACTACTTTTGGTCCTCCCATCGTCATGGTGCCTGTCATGTAGTCTCTGAACTCCTCGCAGCCCGGGATGGCCATCTCCTTGAAACTCCATTCCTTTCTCATGAGTAGGGCCACTCCGCCTCCTCCCCTTCCTTCCCTCTCTTTCCTTATTACAGTGTAGTCCTGGGGAAACACGGCAGTCGTTATGATTCCTGAGGGTTTTGTTTCTGTGTGTGTGTGTGTGTGTGTGTGTGTGTGTGTGTGTGTGTGTGTGTGTGTGAGAGAGAGTCACCGAGATGAGATTTGAAGTTATGTTGACGATGTTGTGTTCTTTATAAGTCTTTGATCCCTTCTTGGAAGACTTTGAACCATGCTTGGAAAACTTTGAGCCATTCATAGAAGAATTTGAACCATTTTTGGAAGGGCTTAATCCATTCTTAGAAGGTTTGAGGCATTCCTGGAAGAGATACGGTATGTTTTAAAAACTTTGGGGCTTCGATATATTCTTTAAGAATCTAATATATATCCATTAATGTCTTTTGATACATTCTTGGAAGAATTTTTATATTCATGGAAGATGTCTATACATATATAGAACACTTTTGAGCTTTCTTGCAAATAATTCGTCTTTTCTGAAAAATCCAAACCAATTGACAATCCCCATTATGGAGAGCTGTCAAGACGTCCATTGTTTAATCTACGAAAAGACTTATTTTAGGGTGGAAATGGTCATTGTTTGAGTCAAATGAACGACTTGAGGTGGTTGGAGGACACTGACTTCACATCGACCCGTGAATAGGAAGCTTATAAGGAGGTGGTCTTTGTGTCAAGATGTTTACCTGTTCTGTCAAATAAAAAGAACGATAACAAAAGGCAGGACACTCCTCTCATCCTAATATCAGATCGCTACCATCTGAGTGATAGCTGATATCTTATTGACAGTTTGCCAGTATGTTAGTGACACCTGGCTACCATGTTAGTGACAGCTGGATATCATGTTACTGACAGCTAGCTATCATGTTAGTGACAGCTGGCTATCATGTTAGTGACAGCTGGCTGCCATGTTAGTGACAGCTGGCTATCATGTTAGTGACAGCTGGCTATCATGTTAGTGACAGCTGGCTATCATGTTAGTGACAGCTGGCTATCATGTTAGTGACAGCTGGCTATCATGTTAGTGACAGCTGGCTATCATGTTAGTGACAGCTGGCTATCATGTTAGTGACAGCTGGCTATCATGTTAGTGACAGCTGGCTATCATGTTAGTGACAGCTGGCTACAATGTTAGTGACATCTGGCTATCATGTTAGTGACAGCTGGCTATCATGTTAGAGTGCAGCTAGCTATCACGTTAGTGACAGCCTACTATCACGTTAGTGACAGCCGGTTATCATGTTAGTGACAGCTGGCTATCATGTTAGTGACAGCCGGCTATCGTGTTAATGACAGCTGGCTATCACGTTAGTGACAGCCGGCTATCACGTTAGTGACAGCCGGCTATCATGTTAGTGACAGCCGGCTATCATGTTAGTGACAGCCGGCTATCATGTTAGTGACAGCCGGCTATCATGTTAGTGACAGCCGGCTATCATGTTAGTGACAGCCGGCTATCATGTTAGTGACAGCCGGCTATCATGTTAGTGACAGCCGGCTATCGTCCAACAACTTATTCGCCTTGTTCCGGCCACTTTGGGCCAGTAACCGGGTTCTTGCTGTTATAACCTCTTATTATATATCCAACCACAAGTGGGGGGTAAGCTTACAAGAACTGGCTGTGACAAGTAGTAGTGCCATGAATAAAAAGGGGGGGGGGATAAGCAATACACAGGTACCTTCACCAACATATTAACTCCTTCACCACTATATATATATATATATTAAATAAAAGTATTACTACACCTATTTACAATAGTGTCTCTTTCACGCAGGACAATACATCGGCAGTGTTCATCAATCCCGGTGAATCCACTTGCCAGATACACGTCGTCCTCACCTAATGGCCAACACCGGCGAGTTCACCTTCAACATGGGCCAGTCCACACACACCGTATCTGCACGATGTGTAGAAATGTCAACACTGTGGAGAAATGCCAGACAGACCACTGGAACATTATCTAACACAGAGCAAAGTTACAAACCCATTAAGATTTCAACTTAGATTCGACAGAGCAGAAGTTGTTAAACACGTGGGACAAAATTTTACTGAAGCGATCATACGAGTCATAAATACTCATACTCCGCCCAAGTAAAACAGAAACAAGCAACACTTAGTGGGCCAGCCAGAGGCTTAGGGCCCGCCCAGTGGGCCAGCCAGAGGCTTAGGGCCCGCGCAGGAATATCCCTGCAAAAGAAAAAAAAGCAAAAATGTGTCAATACCCCCCCCCCCCCCACCTCCACTCTCCAGGTACACACTTGCAGAGGGTTCAGCCACACACTGACAAGGGTCTCAAACAATCACTTACAGGGGTAGCTAGAACCCTGGCAGAAGTCTCTAGCAGCTTGCTAGAGACTTCTCAACTGACGCACCACTGTCGTCGAGTAACTCTTCCTGACCAACCCCGGGTACGTCGGTCCATCCAACTCTGCATACATCAGCAGCTACCACACTGCTCTGACCGACGGCGGCCACTAAGTCCTCACACAGGACTAAGTCAAAAATTCAGGACTGCCCAAGGTGAACTGCCTTCCTCGGTGCAACAGCCTCCTTATGTCACCTCTGTGAACATGAAACGTCATTAATTAGATAGACAGTACACTGGGTGCCCTCAGGATAACACCTATCTACCGGGGAATTGAAATTATAACTTGCAGCGACAACCTAGATGGCGTTCAGCTTGATCCACCACCTACCAGAGGTCATCCTCATCGACCTCCTCTTCTAACTGAGGCAGGAAACAGGAACCGTTCACTAATACTACGCCACCACCAACAGATGGCGGTGTCTGCGTAGCACCCAATACCGGGGAGCTGGAGTGCACACCCATAGATGGTTCCGAAATCGCCACGCCACACTCCGACGATGGTGTCGATACCGTAACACTCCTTCAACCTGTCCTCCTACAACCTGTCCTCCTTCAACCTGTCCTCCTACAACCTGTCCTCCTACAACCTGGCCTCCTACAACCTGGCCTCCTACAACCTGTCCTCCTACAACCTGGCCTCCTACAACCTGGCCTCCAATAACCTGTCCTCCAACAATCTATCCTCCTACAACTTGACCTACAACCTGTCCTCCTACAACCTGTCCTCCTACAACCTGTCCTCCTACAACCTGGCCTCCTACAACCTGTCCTCCTACAACCTGGCCTCCTACAACCTGTCCTCCTACAACCTGTCCTCCTACAACCTGTCCTCCTACAACCTGTCCTCCAACAATCTATCCTCCTACAACTTGACCTACAACCTGTCCTCCTACAACCTGTCCTACAACCTGTCCTCCTACAACCTGTCCTCCTACAACCTGTCCTCCTACAACCTGTCCTCCTACAACCTGTCCTCCTACAACCTGTCCTCCTACAACCTGTCCTCCTACAACCTGTCCTCCTACAACCTGTCCTCCTACAACCTGTCCTCCTACAACCTGGCCTCCTACAACCTGTCCTCCTACAACCTGTCCTCCTACAACCTGTCCTCCTACAACCTGTCCTCCTACAACCTGTCCTCCTACAACCTGTCCTCCTACAACCTGTCCTCCAACAATCTATCCTCCTACAACTTGACCTACAACCTGTCCTCCTACAACCTGTCCTCCTACAACCTGTCCTCCTACAACCTGTCCTCCTACAACCTGTCCTCCTACAACCTGTCCTCCTACAACCTGTCCTCCTACAACCTGTCCTCCTACAACCTGTCCTCCTACAACCTGTCCTCCTACAACCTGTCCTCCTACAACCTGTCCTCCTACAACCTGTCCTCCTACAACCTGTCCTCCTACAACCTGTCCTCCTACAACCTGTCCTCCTACAACCTGTCCTCCTACAACCTGTCCTCCTACAACCTGTCCTCCTACAACCTGTCCTCCTACAACCTGGCCTCCTACAACCTGTCCTCCTACAACCTGTCCTCCTACAACCTGTCCTCCTACAACCTGTCCTCCTACAACCTGTCCTCCTACAACCTGGCCTCCTACAACCTGTCCTCCTACAACCTGTCCTCCTACAGCCTGTCCTCCTACAACCTGTCCTCCTACAACCTGTCCTCCTACAACCTGTCCTCCTACAGCCTGTCCTCCTACAACCTGTCCTCCTACAACCTGTCCTCCTACAACCTGTCCTCCTACAACCTGTCCTCCTACAACCTGTCCTCCTACAACCTGTCCTCCTACAACCTGGCCTCCTACAACCTGTCCTCCTACAACCTGGCCTCCTACAACCTGTCCTCCTACAACCTGTCCTCCTACAACCTGTCCTCCTACAACCTGTCCTCCTACAACCTGTCCTCCTACAACCTGGCCTCCTACAACCTGTCCTCCTACAACCTGTCCTCCTACAACCTGTCCTCCTACAACCTGTCCTCCTACAACCTGTCCTCCTACAACCTGTCCTCCTACAACCTGTCCTCCTACAACCTGTCCTCCTACAACCTGTCCTCCTACAACCTGTCCTACAAAGTACGTCACATTTTGCTGGAATGCGTTACATAAGGCCAAAAATCGTCGCACTAGAAAATGAAAGCGGCTCACGAAATTGACATACTGTACCGGTGTCTGTTTTGGGTCCTCTGGTAGGACAGGGAGAGTGTGTGTGACAAGAGACAGGGAGAGTGTGTGTGACAAGAGACAGGGAGAGTGTGTGTGACAAGAGACAGGGAGAGTGTGTGTGACAAGAGACAGGGAGAGTGTGTGTGACAAGAGACAGGGAGAGTGTGTGTGTCAAGAGACAGGGAGAGTGTGTGTGACAAGAGACAGGGAGAGTGTGTGTGACAAGAGACAGGGAGAGTGTGTGTGACAAGAGACAGGGAGAGTGTGTGTGACAAGAGACAGGGAGAGTGTGTGTGTCAAGAGACAGGGAGAGTGTGTGTGTCAAGAGACAGGGAGAGTGTGTGTGACAAGAGACAGGGAGAGTGTGTGTGACAAGAGACAGGGAGAGTGTGTGTGACAAGAGACAGGGAGAGTGTGTGTGTCAAGAGACAGGGAGAGTGTGTGTGTCAAGAGACAGGGAGAGTGTGTGTGTCAAGAGACAGGGAGAGTGCGTGTGACAAGAGACAGGGAGAGTGTGTGTGACAAGAGACAGGGAGAGTGTGTGTGACAAGAGACAGGGAGAGTGTGTGTGACAAGAGACAGGGAGAGTGTGTGTGACAAGAGACAGGGAGAGTGTGTGTGACAAGAGACAGGGAGAGTGTGTGTGACAAGAGACAGGGAGAGTGTGTGTAACAAGAGACAGGGAGAGTGCGTGTAACAAGAGACAGGGAGAGTGTATGTAACAAGAGACAGGGAGAGTGTGTGTGACAAGAGACAGGGAGAGTGTGTGTAACAAGAGACAGGGAGAGTGTGTGTGACAAGAGACAGGGAGAGTGTGTGTGTCAAGAGACAGGGAGAGTGTGTGTGTCAAGAGACAGGGAGAGTGTGTGTGACAAGAGACAGGGAGAGTGTGTGTGACAAGAGACAGGGAGAGTGCGTGTGACAAGAGACAGGGAGAGTGTGTGTGACAAGAGACAGGGAGAGTGTGTGTGTCAAGAGACAGGGAGAGTGTGTGTGTCAAGAGACAGGGAGAGTGTGTGTGACAAGAGACAGGGAGAGTGTGTGTGTCAAGAGACAGGGAGAGTGTGTGTGACAAGAGACAGGGAGAGTGTGTGTGACAAGAGACAGGGAGAGTGTGTGTGACAAGAGACAGGGAGAGTGTGTGTGTCAAGAGACAGGGAGAGTGTGTGTGACAAGAGACAGGGAGAGTGTGTGTGACAAGAGACAGGGAGAGTGTGTGTGACAAGAGACAGGGAGAGTACGTGTAACAAGAGACAGGGAGAGTGCGTGTACAGAGAGAGACAGAGAGGGTATGTGCGTGAACAGAAACAGTCACAAATTGACAAATTAACCCTCCAACGTTCACTGCACAGATTAATGTGTTCCCCTTGACGGCAAGAAAGATGAGGCTGAAATAAGGTGTTGCCCAATCGTTACCGGCTGCAGCAGTGTGTGTGTGCTTGATCTTCGGCCTTGACCCTCAAACCGCTGGAATTTACCTGAGTCCCCGCTGGACCCGACCACACTCGCATGATTACAATCATCAAATCTTCACATGATTACTCCCCATAATGGGTCAAGTCACCATTCACAATGGGGAGGCATTTAGCTCCCATGGGGAGGTAATTAGCTCCCCTGGGGAGGCTATTATAAACTAATGGGGAAGGATTTAAGCAAGGGAAGGAAATGGGGAGGAATGTCAGTCAGGTAGAAATATATTCTGAGAAAATCCTATTAACCTTGGCACTAGGAGGCTCGAACTATGGACCCCCATTGTGTGATGTTGAAGCTCTATCGACTGCTCTATCTCAAGGGAAGGTATGCGTTTTAGGAGTATAAACAGGGGACAGGAGACACCAGTATACTAATATACCATGTAACTATCTCTACTTGTGTATATATACACATAAATACTCCTCCCATTTCCAATTTGTAATGGGGTTTGGGTCGGGAAAGGAGGGTAACTTTAGGTTAATTAATGCTAAGTTATGTCGCTTACGTTAGGTCAGGTTATGGTAAGTTAGGTTAGCTTAGGGATCGTTATGTTAACTAAGGCAAGATTAGGCAAGGTTACTCTAGGTTAGATTAGGTTATCTAAGGTTAGCTTAGCTTAAGGTTGGTAAGGTAAGGTTAGGTTAGGTTGAGTTAGGTTAGGATAGGTTAAGTTAAGTTTGGTTAGGGTAGGTTAGGTTAGGTTAAGTTTGGTTAGGTTAGGTTAGGTTAGGTTTGATTAGGTTAGGTTAGGTTAGGTTTGGTTAGGTTAGGTTAGGTTAGGTTTGATTAGGTTAGGTTAGGTTAGGTTTGGTTAGGTTAGGTTAGGTTAGGTTAGGTTTGGTTAGGTTAGGTTAGGTTAGGTTTGATTAGGTTAGGTTAGGTTAGGTTTGATTAGGTTAGGTTAGGTTAGGTTTGGTTAGGTTAGGTTAGGTTAGGTTTGATTAGGTTAGGTTAGGTTAGGTTTGGTTAGGTTAGGTTAAGTAAGGTTATGTTAGGTTAGGTTGGGTTAGGTTATGTTTAGTTAGGTTATCTAAGGTTAACTTATATTAAATTGGAATAGATTACTCTAGACTCCTGGTTCAAAGAATAAACATTGTCCTCCTTCTCTGCATGTTATTTGCAGAACATAAGTACATTCAATAACATTATTCCTCAAACAGAACAGGGCAACATCAACGGGAATTAACAAGAACACGATAACCCTAATAAATAACCCGATATCTTAAACTAATTCATTGAAACATCAGGAGCAGTTAGACCTACATCGGACATATTGTCATATTCTGTCCTGACTACATCGGACATATTGTCATATTCTGTCCTGACTACATCGGACATATTGTCATATTCTGTCCTGACTACATCGGACATATTGTCATATTCTGTCCTGACTACATCGGACATATTGTCATATTCTGTCCTGACTACATCGGACATATTGTCATATTCTGTCCTGACTACATCGGACATATTGTCATATTATGTCCTGACTACATCGGACATATTGTCATATTCTGTCCTGACTACATCGGACATATTGTCATATTCTGTCCTGACTACATCGGACATATTGTCATATTCTGTCCTGACTACATCGGACATATTGTCATATTCTGTGCTGACTACATCGTACATATTGTCATATTCTGTCCTGACTACATCGGACATATTGTCATATTCTGTCCTGACTACATCGGACATATTGTCATATTCTGTCCGGACTACATCGGACATATTGTCATATTCTGTCCTGACTACATCGGACATATTGTCATATTATGTCCTGACTACATCGGACATATTGTCATATTCTGTCCTGACTACATCGGACATATTGTCATATTCTGTCCTGACTACATCGGACATATTGTCATATTCTGTCCTGACTACATCGGACATATTGTCATATTCTGTCCGGACTACATCGGACATATTGTCATATTCTGTCCTGACTACATCGGACATATTGTCATATTCTGTCCTGACTACATCGGACATATTGTCATATTCTGTCCTGACTACATCGGACATATTGTCATATTATGTCCTGACTACATCGGACATATTGTCATATTCTGTCCTGACTACATCGGACATATTGTCATATTATGTCCTGACTACATCGGACATATTGTCATATTCTGTCCTGACTACATCGGACATATTGTCATATTATGTCCTGACTACATCGGACATATTGTCATATTCTGTCCTGACTACATCGGACATATTGTCATATTCTGTCCTGACTACATCGGACATATTGTCATATTCTGTCCTGACTACATCGGACATATTGTAATATTCTGTCCTGACTACATCGGACATATTGTCATATTCTGTCCTGACTACATCGGACATATTGTCATACTCTGTCCTGACTACATCGGACATATTATCATATTCTGTCCGGACTACATCGGACATATTGTCATATTCTGTCCTGACTACATCGGACATATTGTCATATTCTGTCCTGACTACATCGGACATATTGTCATATTCTGTCCTGACTACATCGGACATATTGTCATATTCTGTCCTGACTACATCGGACATATTGTCATATTATGTCCTGACTACATCGGACATATTGTCATATTCTGTCCTGACTACATCGGACATATTGTCATATTCTGTCCTGACTACATCGGACATATTGTCATATTATGTCCTGACTACATCGGACATATTGTCATATTCTGTCCTGACTACATCGGACATATTGTCATATTCTGTCCTGACTACATCGGACATATTGTCATATTCTGTCCTGACTACATCGGACATATTGTCATATTCTGTCCTGACTACATCGGACATATTGTCATATTCTGTCCTGACTACATCGGACATATTGTCATATTATGTCCTGACTACATCGGACATATTGTCATATTATGTCCTGACTACATCGGACATATTGTCAAATTATGTCCTGACTACATCGGACATATTGTCATATTATGTCCTGACTACATCGGACATATTGTCATATTCTGTCCTGACTACATCGGACATATTGTCATATTCTGTCCTGACTACATCGGACATATTGTCATATTCTGTCCTGACTACATCGGACATATTGTCATATTCTGTGCTGACTACATCGTACATATTGTCATATTCTGTCCTGACTACATCGGACATATTGTCATATTCTGTCCTGACTACATCGGACATATTGTCATATTCTGTCCGGACTACATCGGACATATTGTCATATTCTGTCCTGACTACATCGGACATATTGTCATATTATGTCCTGACTACATCGGACATATTGTCATATTCTGTCCTGACTACATCGGACATATTGTCATATTCTGTCCTGACTACATCGGACATATTGTCATATTCTGTCCTGACTACACCGGACATATTGTCATATTCTGTCCTGACTACATCGGACATATTGTCATATTCTGTCCGGACTACATCGGACATATTGTCATATTCTGTCCTGACTACATCGGACATATTTTCATATTATGTCCTGACTACATCGGACATATTGTCATATTATGTCCTGACTACATCGGACATATTGTCATATTCTGTCCTGACTACATCGGACATATTGTCATATTATGTCCTGACTACATCGGACATATTGTCATATTCTGTCCTGACTACATCGGACATATTGTCATATTATGTCCTGACTACATCGGACATATTGTCATATTCTGTCCTGACTACATCGGACATATTGTCATATTCTGTCCTGACTACATCGGACATATTGTCATATTCTGTCCTGACTACATCGGACATATTGTAATATTCTGTCCTGACTACATCGGACATATTGTCATATTCTGTCCTGACTACATCGGACATATTGTCATATTCTGTCCTGACTACATCGGACATATTGTCATATTCTGTCCGGACTACATCGGACATATTGTCATATTCTGTCCTGACTACATCGGACATATTGTCATATTCTGTCCTGACTACATCGGACATATTGTCATATTCTGTGCTGACTACATCGGACATATTGTCATATTCTGTCCTGACTACATCGGACATATTGTCATATTATGTCCTGACTACACGGACATATTGTCATATTCTGTCCTGACTACATCGGACATATTGTCATATTCTGTCCTGACTACATCGGACATATTGTCATATTATGTCCTGACTACATCGGACATATTGTCATATTCTGTCCTGACTACATCGGACATATTGTCATATTCTGTCCTGACTACATCGGACATATTGTCATATTCTGTCCTGACTACATCGGACATATTGTCATATTCTGTCCTGACTACATCGGACATATTGTCATATTCTGTCCTGACTACATCGGACATATTGTCATATTATGTCCTGACTACATCGGACATATTGTCATATTATGTCCTGACTACATCGGACATATTGTCATATTATGTCCTGACTACATCGGACATATTGTCATATTCTGTCCTGACTACATCGGACATATTGTCATATTCTGTCCTGACTACATCGGACATATTGTCATATTCTGTCCTGACTACATCGGACATATTGTCATATTCTGTCCTGACTACATCGGACATATTGTCATATTCTGTCCTGACTACATCGGACATATTGTCATATTCTGTCCTGACTACATCGGACATATTGTCATATTCTGTCCTGACTACATCGGACATATTGTCATATTCTGTCCTGACTACATCGGACATATTGTCATATTCTGTCCTGACTACATCGGACATATTGTCATATTCTGTCCTGACTACATCGGACATATTGTCATATTCTGTCCTGACTACATCGAACATATTGTCATATTATGTCCTGACTACATCGGACATATTGTCATATTATGTCCTGACTACATCGGACATATTGTCATATTATGTCCTGACTACATCGGACATATTGTCATATTCTGTCCTGACTACATCGGACATATTGTCATATTATGTCCTGACTACATCGGACATATTGTCATATTATGTCCTGACTACATCGGACATATTGTCATATTCTGTCCTGACTACATCGGACATATTGTCATATTCTGTCCTGACTACATCGGACATATTGTCATATTATGCCCTGACTACATCGGACATATTGTCATATTCTGTCCTGACTACATCGGACATATTGTCATATTCTGTCCTGACTACATCGGACATATTGTCATATTCTGTCCTGACTACATCGGACATATTGTCATATTATGTCCTGACTACATCGGACATATTGTCATATTATGTCCTGACTACATCGGACATATTGTCATATTCTGTCCTGACTACACCGGACATATTGTCATATTATGTCCTGACTACATCGGACATATTGTCATATTCTGTCCTGACTACATCGGACATATTGTCATATTCTGTCCTGACTACATCGGACATATTGTCATATTCTGTCCTGACTACATCGGACATATTGTCATATTATGTCCAAACAATTAATGTCAGTACCATCTTATTTCCACTCAAATTTGTCAACATTGACCAGCAGGACCAGCTGCTAACATTTCATAAGGCCATTTATCTGTCTCATATCCCAGCTCTTAGTTTGTCTAATATCCCAGCTCTTAGTTTGTCTAATATCCCAGCTCTTATTAATCTGCCTAATATCCCAGCTTTTAGTCTATCTCATATCCCAGCTCTTAGTTTGTCTAATATCCCAGCTCTTAGTTTGTCTAATATCCCAGCTCTTAGTTTGTCTAATATCCCAGCTCTTATTAATCTGCCTAATATCCCAGCTCTTATTAATCTGCCTAATATCCCAGCTTTTAGTCTATCTCATATCCCAGTTCTTAGTCTATCTCATATCCCAGCTCTTAGCCTGTCTCTTATTAATAATTTGCTAGTTTTTTGCAATTTGCTCATGCTTACTATTAATCAGTATTAACTTGCATTTGTGAATCTTTCTTTTAATTTAATATATATATATATATATATATATATATATATATATATATATATATATATATATATATATATATATATATATATATATATATATATATATATATATATATATATATATATATATATATATATATATATATATATATATATATATATATGTCGAACCTAGTAGCCAGAACGCACTTCTCAGCCTACTATGCAAGGCCCGATTTGCCTAATAAGCCAAGTTTTTATGAATTAATTGTTTTTTCGACTACCTAACCTACCTAACCTAACCTAACCTAACTTTTTCGGCTACCTAACCTAACCTAACCTATAAAGATAGGTTAGGTTAGGTTAGGTAGGGCTGGTTAGGTTCGGTCATATATTTACGTTAATTTTAACTCCAATAAAATTTTTTTACCTCATACATAATGAAATGGGTAGCTTTATCATTTCATAAAAAAAAAATAGAGAAAATATATTATTTCATGAAAACTTGGCTTATTAGGCAAATCGGGCCTTGCATAGTAGGCTGAGAAGTGCATTCTGGCTACTAGATACGACATA